AATATGGAATTTGTAAAATGTGTTAAACATACTTTCTAAACTTCGAATCTTAGGCTATAAGAACGTTCTTTTCTTTTAATTTCATTAAAGCTATCACTCCTATTTAATAGAACATTCCAAAGAAAAGGGGCGAAGATTAACTCATGGCGTTTGGCGCTACAATTTGAATAGTGACCCGCCTTTCATAATTTTAAGAGAGAAGCACTGTGTCATTGATATATACAAGTAGATTTAGAGTAGAGGTCCCGATAGCGTAATATTTAGTGCGTTGGAATTTCATGTGGCGACTTTGGTTCAATCCCCCTTGTGTGCAAATCTTTTTTTTTTACTTTTCAAATCGATTTTACGTTTTCTTTCCGGAATCGGACGGAAAACCTCTCGTTGCTCGCAACGAGTTTCATCTAGTTTAGGTCTTCCGTCTTCAGCGGAAGACCTTATTGTTTTTCTTAGGTTTCTTTTCCACTATTTTTATTATTGTTTTTTTTTTCTTACCGATTTTGTGCGCGCGATTTCTCGAGAACGGCTCGATCGATTTTCATGAAACTTTCAGGTCTGATAGTACATCAAAAAATCTAGATATATATCTTTTTATTTTGATGACGTCACTTCCGGTTCGGAGTTTTCTGCGATTTAGTGATTTTTAGAGGGTCACTTTGTCCGGAAGTTTTCTCAAAAAGCACTTAACACAGAAGCTTGAAATTTTCAGTGATATTAGAGCAACTTTTGGAGAAGTGCACTAAGTATATCACAACTACCGGAAGTACGAAGCGCCGACGCTCGCTATGGCCCGAAAATAGTCCTATCAAGAATTTCAAAATTTTAAGTACCTTTTCAACGATAACTTTTTACATAGAAATATTTTGTTAAAGCATGTAGAACATAAAAGGTGTAGAATTTCAAGATCTTTTTAATGACATCTCGAAAAAAGGGCTGGCTCCTTAAATTAGGGGCCTGTAGGGGCCGAAAGTTTTTCCTTTATATCTCAAAAAGTATTGAGAATTTTTGATACGTCAAAGAAGCAAAGCTGTTTAAAATGTCAAGCTTAATCTATTGAAGTCGTAAAAATACGTCCGGCGTCGTCACTTCCGGTCAAACCGGAAGTAGTCGGAAAACGCCTATTTTTGCTGTTCTTGACAAGTTTATTGGTAACATACGTCTCTGGGAGCATTAAATTTAATTTTCCGTCCGTCGTCGTCACTTCCGGTCAAACCGGAAGTAACAGAAAATTGCTTATTTTTGCATTCATTACCATGGATTAAGAGGATTCGAACCATTTTTGGGCGTTATGTCTCATTTTTGTTAAAAATGACACCTACTTCCGGTCAAACAGGACGGAAGACCTACTCGTTGCTTTGCAACGAGCTCGGCTCTAGTTTTTCTTCTTCTTCTTCTTCTTCTTCTTCTTCTTCTTCCTGGGTACTTTTTTGTCCGGGAGTGATCTTGTAAACTACACATCCGACTTAGGTAAAACCTTTTTAGGGTCAGTAGGCATGTTATGTAGATTTGCGGAACGAAGGTCATTTTGCGCGCACGTGCTTGCAAGAGCGTGCACGTGCAACGCGTGAAATGACCAATATAATAGATATAGCCGTAACTTTTCTATTTTTGGATGAAATGCTTTGAAACTCATAATGTTATGATATATTAGTAGCATAGACAATATGTCATGGTCAAAATAGCAAGATCTCACGTGCATGCACGTGTGCTTCGCTCTGATTGGCTGAAACTAAAGTCTCAATATCTTTCTTGTTTTTAAACGAAATCCTTTGAAATTTTAAACATAGCCATGCATTAGGATATCCTACAACATGGTATATAGCAATTATCATGAAAACACGTGCATGCACGTGCGTTGTAATCTGATTGGCTTAAACTTTAAATAGCTATAACTCCCTTGGTTTTCAACCAAACAGGATGGGATTTGGAACATATATAGATATAATGGACTTCTACAAGAAGGTATGGTCACCATGCACATGCATACACGTGCGTGTACGTGCACTGCAATCTGATTGGCTGAAACTTTAAACAGCTATAACTCCCTTGGTTTTCAACCAAACGGGGTGGGATTTAGAACATAGATAGACGTAATGGACTTCTACAAGAAGGTATGGTCACCATGCTCATGTATGCACGTGCCTGCACGTAAAATGAGTAAAATCAAAAATACACTTGAATGAGCGTATTTTTTTTTAATAATTTTGGATTAAATACTTTAATATTTAGTGTATTAAAATATATAGATTGTGTAGACAAGATGATATGGTCATTACGCACATGCATTCAGATGCGCATGTTTGCAATGCTAGAATTTGAATGAACTTGGTACACTTCTGGGTAAACGTTGTTAAAATCTCAAATGCATAGAGTTTGTCTTATTTAATGAAGCTTACAGGGAATATGGCACCAAAAGGGAGTTGGGGAGCGTTTGGGGAACATCTGTAACGGTCCCCGTTACAATTAGCACTAGTTTTTGATTGTGTTAAGCAAAACGTCTTTGCCAATTTACAGGATACAAGGGGTTGCTATTCAGAGTCGTCTCATATTTTCTAATTAATATATATTCTTCATGTTCTTAGTGGAAGAATATAGGTAACGTACATTTCTTTCTTATCTCTACGATTGAAAATGTCTTTCATTCCGTATACATATTTATAAAAGTTGCTCAAATTGTTCAATTTAATGTTACATTATCTAAGTAGGAGTAATTAATCCTTTGAAATTTCAAATTTAGCCCATCAATAAATAAAGGAGAACAAAACTATCAGGTGTATAATCTTTGTGTTTGCTTGTAATGTGGCTGAAATAGAATTAAGCGACAGGGACATTGCACAATAAAAATTATTTATTATCACAAAGAAAATGTATTTATTGTTATGAAAAGAAATATATATGATACAAGGTTTAACTTATCAGAAAATTTTTACTTGAGAATCAAAACTATATAAGTAAGTAAGTAAGTAAGTAAGTAATTTATTTATTCATAGTGATATGTGTACAATTAAATTCTTTTGTTTACAGACTGTATAAAATAACAATCAACACCCGGCCCATCGGGCCTATATGCCACTTTAAACACAAAATTGAAGTATTACACAGAGGAGATTCAGCATAATATTTGCCTCAGCGACAGTAACGTACATTTCAAATAGGCTACTATATTTGAATTTGGAACTCCTTCAGATCGATAATTATATGAATTCTTAGTCATTGTTATATGACTATTTATAATGTTGGTTTAAAAATTACATCAGTGGTATTTCTTCTAAATGAAAATGAGGCGACATTATTTGAGCCCTTATATTGAGAATGGGTGTTAAGGTAAAAAAGAAGAGCGTGCGCAGACCTTGTGGGGCCCGGGGGGGCGAAGGGGAGCGGGTGCTTCACGAAGGGCAGGCGGGGTAAAATGAGTAAAAAAGTATTAAATTTGTAGCAAGAGCTTAATAAAAGTTTCTTTAGATATCCTCCGGAAGTGAAAGTTTTACACACTAGACGGAAACGAATGCGTTACAAATACTACATACAGATGGACGAAGAGATAGAAGGACGAACAGAAGGACCGAAATTAATATCTTCCACTTTGTGAAAGCAGATGACAAAAACAGCAATCAACTGTTCTTTTGCAAAGTGCTCAGCACTTTGAAATAAACTGCACTACATTTACCGGTTGAGAAATGCTGGTAGTTCTTGGAAATAGAGCACCTCAAACGAGTGAGGCTTAATTTATTTAAACTTTTTCTTAATTTTTAAAATTTCAAAACTTTATAATTAATGCGTGCTGTCATAGCCTAGCTGACATTTTGGTTATCACTAAAATAATTTGAGTTTCATGCAGTTGGATAGAAAAGGATGGAAAACATGCAGTGTTAAACAAACCTGATTCCGTAGTGTTCAAGACTAAAAGTGCAATGGATATCTTTGCCTGTATAAATGAATAATATATTTTTCATCTTTATATGAGAGAAAAAAGGAAACAAATGTGTAAATACATTAATGAATGTGTTAATATGCTTAACTTCAGTATATTCCTTAAAGACCAATTACACCTATTTATGAAACATGCATGATTGCGGCTATTTATCTAATTAGCGTAATGGTCGTGTGATTAATGCTCGTGGGATCGCTCCCGCCGAGACCCTGGTCAGAAGAATTTCGCGCATCAGTGAGCGTCCGTAAAAACACACAATGACCTATTTCTGTGATTTTGTAAAATTTCCGTTCTTTGCTTGTAGAGGCACACAGGTCAAAATGGCGAGTAAACAAAACGGCAGCAGCGAAGCCTCCGTGGAAATAGAGGAGGTGCGCCAGACTCCATCTAATGACAATCTTCTTTACAAAGTGGACGAATCTCCACCCTGGTATTTAGCCATTCTGCTGGGTTTTCAGGCAAGTAAACTCTATTTAGAAATAAAAAAGTTTTAATATACAATTTGGTTTTTACTAGTAAAGAGAGAGAGAGATTCTATCGGAACCAATGCAGCAATTCATATCATGCATATTATCTTGTTACAAGATGCTATGGGTCCTAAAATAACTTTATATGAAATATGAAAAGGAATATGTTTTAAATTAAAATATTACTTTAAACATGTTATACCGGTATAACCCCTTCACAGGTTTAGGCAACGTACTTAGCTTGGCAGTCTCTAGACTTCAGTGGACTTTGTGCGTGTACATTTTTTGCTTTAGAGGATAATGTATGACAGCGGAAATTTTATTTCACAAAGTTATATATAACGGTATATTGTATTTTTTACAATAAAGATATAAACAAAGTATATGACTATATGTACATTAAAGTCCCTGAACATGCTGAATATACGATAAGTCTTAAAGTCATATGCACTAGCACATTTATTTTCATGTACCAGTATATGTAGATTTTGTTTTGGGTTTTTTTGCGACACGCTCACTTGCTTTTTCATTCTAATCAGTGCACAGCTTTGTGTAAAAATGCTTAGTTCGATTTTCTAGTTGCTTTTCAACTAATTGTTCCTACCAGGCACTGTGTAAGATATGAAATCAAAGAATGCTCCTTCTCTCTCTCTCTCTCTCTCTCTCTCTCTCTCGTGTATCTTCTGCTGTTTCGAGGTTAAGCATTTAAAAAATAGCGAATTGTAATGGGACTTTTCAGCGGGGAAAACACACTCTAGTTGAGAATTTATGGACATTTTGGAAGATTTATTGGATACCTCAGAGAAATTTTAATTTGATAACAATTTATACATGTTATGCAAAGTGTAGATCTCTTATTTTTACTTGGGAAACCTTAAATGGTGTTGAAATTTAAGTCATTAATTTGCTGCTAATCACTGATAAATAACATTCATCCTAAAAATAAAACTATCTCTGAAAAAAATGCTCTTCCCTGAATTTTTACAGGTAACAAATTTTTAATTCTTCTTCTGAAATGTCCACAAAGAAAGAACAAAATTAAGACATTTTTCAGTGTTGTTTCACAGAGTTGTTGTTATCTGCAAATTTAGAAATAAATTCCCTATTGATAAATATTTTATAGACGATTGAAAATTTGACTAAGTCTAAGTTTGTTACATGATCGATCCTGAGGCCAGATCTCATTTCCGGGTAACTACTGGTATAAGCCTTATATTGACCAAACTTGTTATCGATGATACATTTAAAATTACAATGTACTTCTGATGCTGGATCTAACCTACATTTTTCGAATGAGTGACCAGATTTCAGTTTCTAAATAACTATATAAGCCCTATTTTGACCAAACTTTGCATGGATGATACATCTACTAGACTTGTTTCGGATGCTGGATCTGACCTTCATTTTCCAAGTGCCCTGTACCAGGGTAAAAGCTTTGAAACAGATATCATATTTTCAAAGTGTAGATCTCTTATTTTTACTTTGGAAACCTCAAATGGTGTTGAAATTTAAGTCATTAATCTGCTGCTTATCATTGAAAAATAAAATTCATCCTTAAAATAAAACTATCTCTGAAAAAGAAAGATCTTCACTGAATTTTTAGCTCACCTCGACGAAGTAGAGATAAGCTTATGCTATACCCCCGGCGTTCGCGTCGGCGTCCCGGGTTAAAGTTTAGGAGCAAGTCCATTCCCAAGTAACTATAAGCCCTACCTGAACCAAACTTGCATGGATGATGTATCTAGGGATGGACACTGCCAGACTTGCTTCGGATGCCGGATCTGACCTACATTTCATTTTCCAGATGAGTGACCAGGTTAAAGTTTTCGGAGCAGGTCCATTCCGAAGTAACTATAAGCCCTACCTGAAACAAACTTGCATGGATGATGCATCTAGGGATGGACACTACCAGACTTGCTTCGGATGCTGGATATGACCTACATTTTCTAGATGAGTGACCAGGTTAAATTTTCGGAGCAGATCCATTCCCAAGTCAGTATAAGCCCTACCCGGACCAAACTTGCATGGATGATGCATCTAGGGATGGACACTACCAGTACCAGATTTGCTTCGGATGCTGGATCTGACCTACATTTTCATTCCCAAGTAACTATAAGACCTACCTGAAACAAACTTGCATGGATGATGCATCTAGGGATGGACACTACCAGACTTGCTTCGGATGCTGGATATGACTTACATTTTCCAGATGAGTGACCAGGTTAAAGTTTTCGGAGCAGGTCCATTCCCAACTCACTATAAGCCCTACCCGGACCAATCTTGCATTGATGCTGCATCTAGGGATGGACACTACCAGATTTGCTTCGGATGCTGGATCTGACCTACATTTTCATTCCCAAGTAACTATAAGACCTACCTGAACCAAACTTGCATGGATGATGCATCTAGGGATGGACACTATCAGCCTTGCTTCGGATGCTGGATCTAACTTCATTTTCATTCACTGGATCTGACCTACATTTTCCAGATGAGTGACCAGGTTAAAGTTTTTGGAACAGATCAATCCCAATTAACCTCCTAGTCCTAGATAATGCAGTATTAACAAAGTTATGAATATTTATTTACACTATATGTGTTTTTCATGCTAGACGTGTAGAAATGTGTATGCCGTGTAAGGGGTTAAACAGAACTTGCAAGAATATTGTTGTCGGGATACATACTAGCTATTAAGAAAATATGATATGAGATTTGCATTACTTACACTGATAACATTCGTCGAGGTGAGGTTCGTAATGTTTACCAGTAAAAAAAAT